ACTTATCACAAGCCCTTTATTAGAACTTAGAAACTGGAACAGATATATTTTGTTCCATAATACAAAGTAATAAATCATCAAAAATATAGCCTAGCTCAGATCAAAATAGAGCGCATTATGTTTATGTTTCATAGTAATGTATGTAAAAAAACTTTGCTAAATAGAGAATGATAGGTTTTAAAAATAGACTTCGGACTGTAAGCTAATTATCAAAGATACATGTGTTGGATCCTGTTTGAAAATAAAAGTAACTAATAACTAACTAAAATTATTTTATTATTTTTATATAGGTATCTTAATTAACACTGCATGACAACACTACCGCATTTCATGGGGACAGCTCACTTACTCTACAGATCATAGTCTATACGAGCTTTGTAAATAATATTAAAATAGTATAGCCTATAAAATAGAAGGTTCACCTGCACTACATCGAAAATATAAAATAAATGAAGAGGGTTCACTTACTCTACAGATCATAGTGCCTATGAGCCTCGTGTCTTATATTTAAAAATACAGTAGGAAGGTTCACTTACTCTACAGATCATAATGACCATGATCCAAGCGTACGAATTATTTTATAATTCAGGAATCGGCTCTTAAAGTGAGCTCAAAATATGTATAATTCAGTATTTTGGCTCGTATACTATACGAGCTTATTCCTAAATTAAAAAATAATTCATACTCTTGGCTCATATGCACTATGATCTGTAGAGTAAGTAAGCCATGTCTTTGAAACATATTTGGAGGCTCAAAGTGTCTATGATTTGTAGTGTAAGTCTTTAAATAAATGATCCTGGCTAATGAAACAGCTGATCTTAGTCAGTAACAAAGCTACACAGATCATCACACACCATTCTACACTCACTACACTCATTCTTCACTCATATTTGGGTTAAAATACGCACCTAAGTGGCGTCCCCATCTTAATGATTGATAATTGATAGATTGAAGTGAACCTTAACCCATTTCACTACAATCGTAAATCAAGTGCACAACGAAGCTGTATAAAATAAATTAAGCCTGCTTCCAAGCAAACTATAAAACTGTTTTTACAAAAATAGAACTCAGTCATGTCATGCTTAAAGAAATGTGGCTACATGGTAGTTTAACCAATCCACCTTATTTAAGCAAACTAGACCAACGATAGAAGAAGATAGAAGAAGAAAAAGTTTTCATTTCACTTTCACAGTTTTTTTTTGCTTTGTTGACTTGTTGAAGTTCTTTGTTCTTAGTTTTTTTTTTACTTTTAATTTAAATGATTTAACGATTTAACATTTAACAACTTGAACTTCTTGTTCTTAAATAACTTTTTACTTTAGTTTAGCCCACCACCAGTTCAAAGCTATTCTGCTGACTTTTGAGATTAGTTTTGAAATTTATCTTACAGAGATGTAGGTTACAGCTCTGACTATTGATAAGTTACAACTTCATGTATAATTTTATTTATGATTAGGCCTACAGTTCCAATGAAAACCTAGGAAACATTAGCTCTATTAATTTGGATACCATATTCTATTCATTGTAGGGTAAGTTTATGCATTGAATAGGGTAATAACACATTTTAAGGTAATTTGGTAGTTTTGAGAAGAATGTGCTGCAATGTTTAGGGTTCCCAGAGGGTACACTTTCATAGGCTATATGTTGGCACAAACAACCGAATGGATTGTGTGAGTGCTCTCTCCCATGGAGCTGCCCCTCCTTGTCATGTTCCCGGGACTGAGAGTGTGGGTTGCTTCTCCAATAATATTGGAGATGCGTCGGGAGCCTCTCATGTTCCGGAAAACTGTAGGCGAGGGGGGGGTAAGGGGAATCTCAAAGTGGCCCATGTCAATACAAGGTCTCTAAACACAGCGTTCAATGAGCTGGGGTACAGTTTCTTAACTGGGCTATGCTAATATCGATTGAAACTATCGAATTGAAAATATCGATTAATAAACGATATTTTAAAATATTTCTATTATAAAATTAAACTAGGTATCATAACCTAACCTAACCAACCAAACTTGCTGATGGTGAAAAAATCGCATGAAGGTTTACTAATCAAATCGATAGTTTCAATTGATATTAAGTTAGCGTACCGGTACCCATGAGCTGTGCTCAATTGTTGATTACTTTAGATTTGACATTTTAGGGGTTACGTACTGAGACCTGGCTCCTCCTAAACACATCCACAGACAGTTATGCTATACCAGGATATTCAATGCTTCATTGTGATCGAATTGCTAAAAATGGTTACCCAGGAGGTGGTGTAGCATTGTGAAAGACGGCATCGACTCTCAGCTGTACTACTTATCTGATTTCATTGATCCTGGTATTGAGCATCTCTGTGTGGTGGTGAGTTTCAAAGGGAGTAAGTTTGGTAAGTGTGGTTTATCGTCCTTCCTACAATGGTTACACTCGCCTTTCGGATCTGTTTCGCTCCCTTTTTGTTGAAGTTAAATCAGTCATTTATTTGGGGGATACTAATATTGGAAACCTTGGCAAAATTGATTGACCACATCATAGTAGACAAATCAGCCGAGATTAAAAGAGTTGGAGTCATAGTTACCCCAGCATAGTTGACTACACAGAGGAATGAGGATGACTGATCATAAACTAATATATTGTTATATACCGTATCTTGTAAGAAAGACAAAAGGGGGTCGATGCTAATCACATTTAAAGATTTTTCCAAATTTAACTTAATGCAGATACTGCACTAAACATAATTGCTGATAGGCCTACTAACTGGAATTGTGTGTACAACCTAGAGTCTCCTGATGTGATAGAGCAATTTATTACTGATCATATAAAGAAAGTGTTTGATGAGGTTGCTCCTATTGTTTGTAAAAAGGTAGCCTAACACGGGAAAAAAGCTCCTTGGAAATGAAACAATTAAAGAATTGTCAATTGTTAAAAATAAACACTGTAACAAATATTGGAGGACCAGAGATGCTTCAGACTGGTGAGTACAAAACCATAAGAAATAGTTTGAATTTCATGATCCAAGAGGCTAAGAAAATATTCTTTTCTAACAAGCTTGCCTTGTGTGAAAACCCTGCGGGGTTCTGGAATTGTTAAAAAATTGTGAGATTCTTAGTAGTCAGAGATACAATAGGCTCCCCCCTGATTTAGACATTACCGGTAATAAGATAAATGAATATTTTGTCAATATGGGATCTTGTAATGATGCAGACATTGAATTGCTGAATGAACTTCAACAAGATAAAAAACATGGAGATAACGATAAGTCTGAATTTAAAATGATTACAGAAAATGATGTTAAAGAGGCAATGAACTCAATAAAATCAAAAGCTGTAGGTGTTGTTGATAGTATATCGATACAAATGATAAGATCTGTTAGCCCATATGCAATTGTAGCAATAACACATTTGACAAACACGAGTCTGGCCTCTGGTGTTTTTCCTAAAAGTTGGAAGATTGCCCATGTGAAACCATTGCCTAAGGCTGCTGCCCAAAAACCATCCAGCATTTAAGACCTATCTCCGTGTTACCTGCAATGTCAAAAATACGGTAATGGAAAAGATAATACCGGTACTGTAACTAAAAAAAGCTTCATTTCTAGATGACTTTGATATATTGCCTAAGCTACAGTCAGGGTTTAGAAAAACCACAGTACTTGTACTGCACTGACTAATATGTTTGCAGATCTATTCGATGCCAAAGATAAAAGGACTCTACAGCACATAGCTATTTTCGATTATTCCCAAGCATTTGACTCTATTGATCATGAATTGTTGGCCAAAATGAAGTGCTATGGCTGCAGTGAAAAAGTTATTTGTTGGTTTCGGTGCTATTTGGAGTCCCGACTGCAGGTTACCAAAATTGGGAGTGAGACATCAGATCCGCTTTGCAAATTGCGTGGTGTTCCTCAAGGTAGTTGTGTAGGACCCGTGCTGTTCAATTTGTAGGCCTACACGTCTGACTTAAATTTCTGCATTAAATTTTGAACAAGAATAATAGAAAATGACGGAGGATCAGTTGTAAAAACTCCATTGTAAATAGATTCAAAGATAAAAATTAAGATGTTTGATAAACATTTAAAAAACAATGGTCTATTGCATTTTTCACACCCTGTATACAAGAAAGTGTCGGAATATGTTAAAAAGTGCGCCATTTTATAAGCTTTCCAACATTATGCTACACCATTGAGCTTTATGTCTGCTTATGTACGCTTTAGTGGTTTGAAGACTACAAAGCACGGTGTCTTTAACATTTAAAACATAGAAAGTCGGCATGTATTAAGCAAAAGCTGTATTTTTGTTTCAGATTGAACAGTAAAAACAAAAACAGTAAAAAGTTCCCTGTTTTCTGGTATTCAAACCACTAAAACAAACAAAAGAACATTTAAACCTCAATAGTACTACTCCAACCTACTCCAACTAATAATTTCCCCACTTAACTCTCCCATCCTCTCTTTACATGCCTCCAGCTCCTCCGTCAAACTGAGGGACTCATCCCAAGCTTGAGTCATGCTTTGTCTGAACTGGGAACGCAAGGTGCGCACATCAGCTCCAGAAGTCTCCCCTCGGGACTGCACCTCGTACACTAGCTCCGGCTTTCTAAAATATTCTGGCACAATTGACGCCATACCGAGTCTCATAGGCCTGTGCAAGCATGAACAATGTACAAGAGTACACAGCTTTAGTTCAGACTTCTGGAGTCCATCTTTAGATGACCTGATGATTTTTTTCACGCCAGAACTCCAAAGTCTGAATATATAGGAGTGAACTACCACAAAGGATCACTTGACAAAGCAAGAAAACTTAAAAACCGTTTAGCATTAATTTTAGGATAACTGTGATACATTGCATGAATTAAACTCACTCTACGCTTGTTTTATGTATTAACTTATTACCTCCTACTGGAATTTAACTACATTGCTTGTATTTTACATATCCCGATGATGAATGAAATTTTTTTCACAGTGGCATTTAGATCTTCACATCACAATGGATGACCTTTCACTACCCATAGACAAGCTGTATCTTGAGTACATGACAAGTTACCACCCTCCTAAAAAGCAACGCCGGATAGAGGAAAAGCTGATTGCTGCAGGAAAACTTAACTTTACCAGGTTAACATCTGTCGACAAACTCACAGGTAATACAGCCCAATAATGACTGCAAAATTTACCCACATGTAAACATGTTTTTGAAATTAAATTAAATTAAATATTCCTTTAATTGTCACAATACATTTCAAGTTTTCAGCAATGCTGATGAAACAGGTCACATTGTCCATTATTAAAACTAGATTTACAAAACATTCCTATAAACTAAATAAATGTACTGTTTTTAGACAATTTATCAAAAGCTCCGGGAGTAATTAAATGGTGTAAGAGTTAAAAGAGTTGTATTGGTACCTTAGTTTTTACAATATAGGGGCGGTTCACGAGCTCGGGACTATCATAGTCCGAGCCAAGAATCCGGAAATAACCGGTATTTGGGCCGCTACTTAAAAAATCGGGTTCACGAGCTTGCAACTTTATAAGCTGCGGACCAAACTGATAGGCTGCACACAATTAGTGCAGGGATTTTAAAACCCGGTTTTAAAAGTTGGGTTCACGAGTCCAATTACAGATAGTCCCGGCTTCGGATCATTAGTCCCGGTGGGTTCACGAGTCAAGTCCGAGCCCAAATGAGATGGTTCGGGCCCAAAAGATTTTTTTTTCCCCTAGGACGCTAGGCACGAGCCTGGGATTGTTTTTCACATTACTTCAGGCTAGACCTAGGGGTTGCGGCATTACCACTAGGATAAAATCCATTGGTGACTTGGCGGGGATCGAACCCAGGACCTCAGGGACTGAAGTCATGCCTTTATCCCCACTCCTCACGGACAGAGCGAGGTAGCGACAGACCGTTTTTAGAGCCCTACTTCAACCTGAGCGCGCAATCCAGGGAGTTATTATACATCGATGTTAATACCCTGTTTGAATTAATTAAAAGATTTTTATTGTTTGAAAATTCACTGACTCACAGAAGATTTAAAAATGTTTTAAGCTCTATTTCTTCCTGGCAGTCCCCTGTAACTATGATATTGGTATCATCAGCATAGAGTAGGTAATACAGAACCTCCTTCATTCATAAATCTTGGTAATCCTCTCATACAACAAAGAAAACCAACAACTACCAAACAATAACAAATAGACAACAACAAATAGAGGGACCAGGATACATCCCTGAGGAACCCCATGTTTTATTGTTTTAAAATCAGAATAAAAGTTTTGTGTGTAAGTGTATTTTATTTACTATTTGGAATAGTTGAATTTGGACATATTTTTGCCGAGTTTTTAAAATAAAGAAAACAACTTATGCTCCTTATAGTGAATATTCAAACTAGAAAGAACACCAAGCAGATTATCATGAGTCACACTGTCAAATGCCTTTGAAAAGTCAAGGAAGATCTCAATTACTTTTTCAGTTTTGTTAATTTTGGATTCAATAAAGTTTATACCCGCAGTAATTGTGGATTTACCAGGAAAAAACCATGTTGTTCATTGTCAAACAACAGATTACTTTCTAAAAAGTTTAGTTGGTTGCATATATACAACTTTTTCCAAAATCTTTGAGATAACAGTTAATAAAATACTAGTTTATTAATACTGGCCTATAACTATATATTACTAAACATTTGTTTCAGCAAAATTTGAGATGGAAATTCATGTCTTAGAAAAGACAGTGATTGTAGATGATGGGTCTGAGAAAAAGGTGTACTCCACGTGTGTGTTTGAAAATACAAAACGTTACGATTGCAACATTTGCATCACGTCTGTTTACGGAAAGACCTCGCTGATTCGCCATAATAGAAGCAGGAAACACTATGAAATGATGCAAAGGAAAACACATCCTCATGAAAATTTTGATGACAAAAGAGATATGAAAATAGTTAGAGGTGAGTAAAATTTTGGTTTAATAATTTTAATTACTGGTGCGATACCAAATGAATGAACTTGTATCATTAACATTTCCATTAACTTCAAAACATGTAAAGTAATAGTATTTTACAAATTTTCAATAGGTATAAATAATAAATAGTTTATGTGGTTATTTTAAATAACCTGGAGTATTGTCAGGTGATCCTAGTTTTGTTAGAAGAAGAAAAAGAAAAACATACTTTATTTTTCACAAAAATAATTGACAATACTAAATAAGGCCGGCCGCACACCTAATACAGGACGGCACAGCAAAACGTTTTCGCCTCGCCGCGCCTTGCCATGCCTCAATTGCTGGTATGTCAACCCCTTTTTATTTTAGATGTGAAGGAGTGTTATTTCGTGAAAGACCTTCTAGAAGAGTGTCGGTACTTGAACATCAATCTCGTGTTGATTGGACTGGAGTATCTGGTGGAGGTGTTGGATCCTCGTGGGCCGTACTACATCTGTCTGCTGTGTAACAAGGAGGGTGAAGAGATCGAAGCAACTATCAACCATCTGGAGGGATATGAGCACAGGATGCTGTACATGGTGAGTCTACAATACAAATCTGAAGGTTCGATTCCACACTCAAATGCCACTATCATTGTGTGTTTGGTGTGAATTTTAAAGACAGCAATCTTTAAAAAGCCATCTTAATGAAAGATAATCGATGAAAAATATACTTTAAGGGTTATGTAATATCGTAATATTTTATTACTATATAACCTGTTTCTCTAAATAGAGCAAAACTGCGACTTTTAATAAAAGAACGTAAACAAAAGTTATCAATGTATCGTTAATGTCACCATATGTTTCCTGAATTACTGACCTACTTCTAATTATTCAATCTGGCAACTCTGTAATAAGTGGATCAAGATCATTGTGAATCGGTAGAGATACATCTTTGTAGCTTCTGGGGGAAATTACAAAGTCCACTTCAACTTGTAAAGTACGCATGTTTGTTGTTAATTTGAATTTCTTTATGCATGACAACTGCATGAATGGGTTTACACAGTTTTCTACAATAGTCTGCGATGAATGAGTAAGAACTTGCAGCATTTTTCGAAAGTGGCCACGAGGTACTCTCAGCTAAATGAGCTTCTGAGCTGAGCAAAGGCGGAATTTAATTGACGAATATTATCCAAATAATTTCCAAATCTAGGTCTCACAGCCCTGTTTTTACATTGGGAGTTTCCAATAAGTTCCTGAAAGTATGGTGAATTCCACAAATGAGGTAAATGAACCTTTCCTCTATGACAATTAGAGTAAAAATGTAACTGTTTCAAAATGTTCACAATGTTAAAATTCAACTTTCTTTTGTCTGAGGTTAGATGTAGCACCACGGCGGTCTAGTACAGCCGCTCTTTATCCGTCAAATTTTCCATTGGGAGGGTGTTGCAAGTGACCACGTTCGCCTTTCTTCTGGCCACTCATAGTTCTTTGTCTTAGGTGGCATTTAATTTTAAATTTAAATCAAACACGAAAAAGCTAACGAAACAACAGAAAACATCACTACAAAGAAATAACTATACACATTGTAAATTACATGATAAAATGGTAATAGGTAAATACATTGAGAATAAGCACTTTTCAACAATCATTTCTTCATACCGAACTAACCAAAACTATGTGATAAGTTAATCCAGCAAACTACGTTTCAGTTTTAAGGTAAATCAATTTAGCTATTACAAATAATTTGTTGTCAAGTCTTGCTAGGAAATACTTTACAATATTAATGAACCAGACTTAATAAACATATGCAAAAATCCAAATTTAAATAATTCCGGATTTGCTCTGGAAGTAATAAGTCCTGCAGTCTGTGATTAACCTTAAGGACTAGGCTATTCCAAACCATGTCCATATGTTTAGTTGTAAACTAAGTAAATTAAGATTGATTTAATGACGACAGATAGCGCCACTGTTCCAAAAATTTAGCCCTTAACTGTACTTAAGTGATGCCCTTTTTTAACATTCTGAGACATATTTGCACATCTAGGTTAGAATACCTGTAATTTGACACATCAAACGTTAAAATCTGTTGAGCTGCAACTAAACCCCAGCGATTACGCATCACTAAAGCTGCCATATCTCAGTTAAGATAAACAAATCTCTCTGTTTTCAGCTGCTATACTTCCCAAAAGTATACAAGAAGCTTTCACTTCTACAGAAGGAAATTTGGCAGGTGCAACTGAACATTGTTGTTCAGAAAATTGAGAAAAAGTTGGGTCGGTTGAAGCCCTGGCGCCATGATGGACCTTTGTCCTTAAAGCAGAAGAAAGCTATTCGTTATGCAATAGATAAGGGCCCTCATCTGAGGTAAGAATAAATCAATCTATTTCTGAAAAAATACCTTTATATTTGTAAAAACTGTATTTCCAAAAAAAATGCAAAAATGTTCCTAGTTTCAACAAAAATAATTTTATTGTGTGTGCATCAAGAGTCCGGTTCTAGAGACATTTATTTATACATGCATAAACTCTCTGGTTCATAAGTTTGTTTACTAGTGGCCTTTTGTACCGGTTTTTTTCCTCCTTAAATGTTTACAAATTCACAATGTTTACACATACAACAACGAAAGTTTTATTATTACTTGCACCATCTCTGCATGTAACAATTCCTATGTGGCCACTCAAAACCAAGGAGGTTTTTTTACCTCGCCAACAGTTTTTGTCATCCGCCCCTCTCTATAATTCTGTGAAGCACCACACAAATTTTTCCTTTAGTACTTGATCACTCAATTGCAGTCTAGGATGCCCCTATGGTCATATACTTTGCTGATTATTTTCTGTCACCATTGTTACTGTGGAATAAACATGCAATATTGGATGTGCTTAGTCTATAAGTATAAAAGAGGATGTTTGTATATATATATATATTTGGCAGTGATAAACTCAGACACCGCTGAACCGATTGCCACGAAACTTGGTACATACGTGTAGAATTTCATGGAATAGGTTTATACACCATCAATTTCGTGATCCGTCCAATCGGCTCCGTCCCAGTGGCTCTGGAGTTTCCCATGTTAACCTTATGAGAAATGGAATTAATGAATCTTAACAGCTGTTTCAATTAAACAAGTTGGTTCTGTTCTATGATGTTAAATAGCATTAAAGTTACAAGGATTACCAACAGGGTGCAGCACTATTATTTCTTTTACATTTATGACAACAGCTAATTTGCAACCAAAAGGTGAGTGAGCATAGCGAACGAACTTCAACCTGGAGGCGAGTTAGCGTAGTGAACGAGCTAACCTGAAGGCAAGTGAGCGTAGCGAACGAGCTAACCTGAAGGCAAGTGAGCGCAGCGAATGAGTTCCAACCTAAAGGTGAGTGAGCGTAGCGAACGAACTTCAACCAGGACGTGATTGAGCCATGCGAACGAGATCATCTTGAAAATTAAGAAGTTAAACGGGGCAAAGCCCGTGGGTTACAGCTAGTCTTTTCTAAAACAGATAAATATCTCTTATTCACTAAAACTAAACTCACTACATGTAGTAAAGTATGGCCAAATTATGCAAATTAGGTTCTTTGAAGACGTTGGCTGACGTTGGCCCAAGTGCTTAAATAAATGATGCCGGAATAATTTTAAGGATATGACCTGGATATGTTTAGTTTTATTTAATTCATTCATTTTACTTTCAATTTTTCAGGGACTTAGGTCTGAGTTTTTCCGGAGATATTGTATTTAACGAAGACGTAAAGGACCCAATGAGTAAGTTGAATTTGTAGTTTCATCTTGTTGTGCTAATAATAATATGTGTTAATAATAATAGAATACTAATCCTCGAGTGTAGGCTTTAGTGTAAATTATTAAAAGCGCACAAAGTGGCGGCCCTAGAGAGTCTTTACTTTGAGTTTAATACGGGCCTCTCTTAATACCTGAAATACGGCTGTGCGAGGCCCCAGACACCGCCTTGCTCCCCTTTATGTAGGGCTGCCTCTGCGCAATAATTATGATCGTGTGAATGTTATTTGGTAAAACATTTCCCTGAGGATACAATACATTTTGTACACAAGAAATCAGTACGTATGCAAAGTATGTTGGTTGATCAAAATAAGAAGGAAAAAGTAAACAAAAGACTGCAACATATTGTGTTTATAACATGCCGTCCACAGTATCCCTACTAGAAAATTACAAAATATATAGTACAAAGGGAAAAACATTAGTTTTTCATTTTTTTGCCATTTATGTAAAAATTTCAGAGGGTAATGGACGCACTTGTTAAATTCTGACTTTAATCTCAGAATTCTAGTTGTTTTTTTTTAGAGATGAAGAAAAATATTTTTTTACAGTTTCCTTCAGCGCCGTTGTAGGCCATAGTACAATGCCAAATGCTGTCTAAAATAGTTTTGGAATAATTACTCAATTTTCTGTTCCCTTTGTGGGGTTTTCAAAGGAGAAAAGCAATTAAAAATGTGTAGATATACAAAATGTTTTATCTGCTATTAAAAACAATAAAGGGGTATAATCCTTATCATAATCAACATCATCAATTTAACAGGCTCCTGTCCCTCTAGTGTACCTAAAAACAGAGCTCCTCTCCTTCATTGTGCAGGAGATGAAATCCTTTCAGCTTTTGGCTCCCTTTTATGACATCCTGCCAGCCATTTCTTACAGGGTCTTTCAACTCTTCTCTTTTAGCGAATTTCCCATATAGGGTATAAGCTATTACTCATGGTTAGAGCTAGACCCGGGACCGATTTACTTATTCGTTTTGGGATCCCTAGAGGCCAAAAACACCATCCTTTCAAATTCATATATATAAGTGTCCGTTAGCACAATAACTCAAGCAAAAATGATCTGATTTTGATTAAATTTGGTTTTAACGTGTTAATCTACATTTATTCGAACAAGTTCGCAAACCAGCATGATCGGACTATGTGAACGGGGGCTTAGGGGGGTTTTATAGGGTAAAAATAGGCCCCATGTTGACCCTATAAACACAAAATTTCACAATTTCTTTCCAATCCATTTTGTAGAGCTTAAAAAAACAAATATATTGAAGCGTTATCATGTGTCTAATGGTTAGGGAGAAAAAAAATGTTAATTTAAAATTCCCATGTTATTCTTATGAAAAATGAGTCAACTGTTGTAGTTTGCTTGTTTATGAACATATTTCGATTAAATTTGGAAAAAACATTCCTTTTTTTACTTAACTATTAATATTTTACAACAAAAAACACTTTTTTACCCTCACTGTTGCAGCAAACCTATAAGTACTCGTTAAACTAATTATTAGGGATGGTCAAGTCTCGAAATTTCGGGAAATTTTCGGGAAATTTTAAATCTCGTTACACGAGACGAGATTTTTTTTGGCCGAGATTTTTATCGAGACGAGAATAAAAAAAATTTAAAAAAAAATTAAAAACGCCTGCAGAAAGTCAATGCAATACCCGCAATACAGGAGCGTGTTGTAGTTGCGTTTCCATTGCGAAGGCGTTCTTATTTAATTAATTCTTTAAATGTAAATATTACTTTAATTATTTTAATAATATTACTTTAATAACATTTGAGAAGTTATGTTAAGTGTAAGCAGTGTGAGGAATGTTTTATTACTATAAAAAGTCAAAACAAGTAACTATTTTATAAAAATTAAAATTGCTTTTATTTTATGATTTATTTTATTTTAGGATAAGTTTAACTCTATTCTAACTGATATCACTATGTTTCCTAATCGTAGGCATTTTTAATAAGTTAGGCGTGATTAATAAAAAAATGTTATACTGATGTTTTTTAATAAAAGATTGTAAATATTCTTGCCTATTATCATTATTTTTGTATTTAAACAGTCATCTAACAATGTTACAAAATCAGGTAAAAATTTTGAACGTGCATTTCCCGTTGTGTATGAGAAGGGAAATCCCGTCTCGATCTCGTCTCAAAATTTTATGAGAAATAAAAAATCTCGTCTCGTCTCGTCTCGAACTAAAAATCCAATCTCGTCCATCCCTACTAATTATATTTAAATAGGAAATAAATTTGATATTTTTAAGAACACATTTTAGTGTAAATCCAATCAGACACATAAAGGAAACATAAAATAAAGAATTTTTCGTCATACTGCAGCAAAAACAGCCGTTTTTAATGCATGCGGGTCTAAAGCAGCTTTTTTACTCTCTAGGGAGTAAACATTTTTAGTCTCTAGAGACTAAAAATCAGCTGTTGTGAACCAAACAGTTGTAAATTTTGATTGTGTCAATCGTATCATTCAAAATTATTTATCGATTGATTTATTAGGTAAGGTGTTAGCCTATTGTTGTTGATTGCTAATCATATCGATGCCCGATGGTATAATGTATTTTAATGTAACACAATAGTAACAGACAAAATGATTGTATCCCTTACTAAACAGCTGCTTATTAGCATTAGCAGTATTGAAAACAAGCTAGAAGTCGTTTTGAGAGGTTATCTTTGCATAAATAATATTTAGCTTGGTTAGTTAATGATGTAATGTTAATGAAAAATATAGTTTACCACACGGACAAAAAGTGTCTTTTTAACCCACGCTATTTTCCACCGTAAAACTTCACTGTAGGCCCTAGTAATAAAATATACAATTTATAAAATCTCTTAATTTCTAATTTAATTAACATAATTTTAGCTGACGTGAGAGTTTCAATGTATGTCAAGTGGATAATATGTGGAAATTTCCGGTTTTGGTGCTATTAAATATCATGTTCTGAATGTATTTGTTAAATTTATTTTATGATATTCAAATATAAGAGCTGAATTGGTTGATTAAAACATTCATATATGACATTTTTTTACAGTGGAGCATACAGTCCTCACAGAGTTTTTAGTGAATGAAACCGAGGATAACAAAGTTTTTGAACGTGTTAAGGTAATTTAGTTATTAGATTTTGTATTCTCGCATCCTTTTGAGAGATATGACTCACACACTCTGTTGGAGATTAGAAGTTAATAGTTTCAGTAGGATTAGCCACTAAAAGTCTTTAATAAAACCTTAATCTTGCTGTCAACATTTAAAAAATTGTTTTGCCATAAGAACAATTGATTTGTTCAGATTCAGACATATGTGGTTTGAGAACTCTGTTAAATTGTATTTGTAAACATCAGATGTGGTTCTAGTCTCTCAGCTTTTACTATTTATCATTAGTCAAATTATTCTTAGTTTTATCCATCCTAATGCACCATTCTTTTACTTCATTACATTCTTTTGTTACTTAGAAAGAGTTTTTGTAGCCTATTAGAACTTATTTTTGGGGGAATCGATAACTTGAGAATTTTAAGTGTAGTATAATTCTCTAGGGTGGAGGTTACCGGTGCAAGCTGTGTAAAACAGGGGTGAATTCCATTGTTGAAAAAATTACTCATCCTTACACAGGAAGGCATATAGGAAAAACAATCAAAGGTACGTAAATAGTTTTTTTATGGATATGTTTACAATTTCAATTAACTAGTCGAAGGGATTTCATCATAATGTGCATTTGTAATATCCTTACAGTGTTGCAGTAAATGTTTTGTTTTCTTATATATGATCTAGCTAGTAATGTTACATATGATCCAAGAGTTGCATGAAATTTAAAAAACGTTTAATTTATTAGGCCAACAGTTTTTTTTCATAAAAAGGGAAATACAAAGAGTGGTATTTACTTATGAACTAAATTGCACATTTTAGTTGTTGTAGGCTACATGGTCTAACTTAGTGCTCACACACTTACTTACTGCTCATGATCTTATACACACTCAGCTGCACATTACATACTTCAAGATGTAGATGATCTAAATTACATTCGTTGCTAATAATGTAAAAACTGATGGTGTTGTGTCATCTAAGTTGAAAGGCGTTCCATCATGTGCAACTCCATTGAGCAATGGTTCATTAGGTTTAGAGCGTAAATACCAAATTAGATAACCCGTTCAAAGTGTTTGTCTCTTCCAGTTTACGAATTTACTTGTAGAAAACACATACTGATATCACCATTTTATTGCAGGAATGTCGATTCTCGACAATGTTGCTTGCACCATACAAAACGCCATAGAGAGGTATCCACAACCGTTGATCGGGACGGAGTACATAGTGGAGTATGACGAACAAGGGGTTTTCCTGTGGTACTGTATGTTGTGCAGAAAAGGGATGAACAACCAAGACCAGGTCTTGTTACATCTGGTTAGCAAGCAACATCGCCAATGGTACATTGTAAGTGAAGGGACAATTGGATTCCTGATTCATTATACATAGAACAACTTTAAATCATTGTGCAATTTGTCTTAGCAGACCATAGTTGACGAACCTGAATCTTAAATTCAATGAATTTATAGAGAAGATTTGAAGTCTTGATTTAATATGCTGTATTTGTGATTCGAACCTCAAATATTATTGCTAACATTATAAATTAAAGTAACTTGAACCCTACATTTCAAAACTGGATTATTAGTCGTATTTCATAAACATTTTACTTAATTTCCTTATTTATGATCCAGCACTGGGATTTTAGGTTTTGGATTTGAGATTCAAAATTTTTTGAATTTGACATTCCTAAAACACTGCAATCAAGTTCAAACAAAACTGCTTGGTAGAGAAATTTCAGAAAAATGACATGCAAACCAAAGTAATGTAAATAAAAGATCACCTATAGTGTACAGGGGGTGGGATATAGAAAATTAGGTATATAAAAACAGGAATATGAGAGATACAATTAGTTCACTGCAATTCGTGGGTTATGAAGTGATTTGGTACAATTGTATTGTAACCTCATTGGCACTTAGTACACAAGAGTCTGTGAATTACTTTATGCCCAACAGATCTAAAACTATCTCTGGATGTTCTAATTGGGGTTTCTCGTCCAATTCAAACCAAATTAACCAGGTTTTATTACCTTGAACAAGTTATTAATGCAAAATTGATAGTGGATGGACATAGTTTGAAGAGAGTTGGTGTTTGAATGTAGCCACTTTGGCTACGTTTTAAAATTTAAATATAAGGTATGTTGTGCATGGATTTAAAATGGCTCTTTTTTCATTTCAGAAACACCACATGCCTGTGAAACACCAAGAACTGCTCAAGAAGACTGGCCCGGTAAAAGCAGAAGATACATTAAGGTTGCTGAGACAAATCGAGGCCAAGTACCCAAATCGATTGCCTGCGTTTGGTTGTATCTACAGCCTTGACCATGTAATTGACTCTGGGCTAACTATCAAAGATGTGATTAGTCAGAAGATCATGGATGGCCAACACTTTACGTAAGTGTTAATTAGAGTTCTATTCCATATTAATACTGTTGAGCACAGGATATTTATGTAGCAACTATTCTCCTTCATGTTTCTGTTCCTATAAAATTTTTTTATTCCAATACATGTAACTACAAGTAAGCTGGGACATCACTGTCAATAGTTTTACAACATTTTTTAAATATGCTACGAAAGTTAGTGAACAATTGATATTGTTCAGGGAATAAGCCTCAACATTGGAACTACCCAGAGGCTGATTTAAAGATTTTCTGCCATGGGCTATCCACATTTGCCACAATTACCGAATCGGTGCGAATTAAGTCAGTTCAGAGCAGGTAAATTGCTGTTACGAATCCTAGCTAAGTTTGCCTACTTAGTAGAGGCAACCTTATCGGCTAGTTTTCAACTCCAGGGATGATATTTGGTTTGGTTGATCACAACTGCGAGCGCTAGTGGCCTTGACACTTTGATTGACACGACCTCATTGGCTAGTTTTCCATCCAGAGACGATTTTCTGCCAATCACGTGTAATGTGACAGCGGCGTGGATACTTGGTTTGGTTGATCCCCACTGCGAGCACTAGTGTCCTTGGCATTTTAATAGACACAATCTCATTGGCTCACCTACTGCCCTGCGACGACGATCAACCAATCATGTGCTATGTTTTAGCGACATTGAAACTTGGATTGTTGTTGAACGCCGCACCGAGTGCTAGTGTCTTTACTAACTTATTAGAACCTTTCTCATTGGCTGGTTTTGGATCGGAGGATAACGATGAACCAATCACGGTTAGCATTTTAGAGATGCAGTAGTCCTGTTATATGCACGATCGCGGTGTTGCAGTTACAGTGTATGTCGTATGATCCATCCGTATGATGACTGTTGAGGTTATGTTATTGTCATTTCACATTGGTTCTAATTGAGTTTCTTTTGATTTTAGTTAATGAATGATATAGTTTTTTTATTTAATATGAGTAAAGTAAGCGTCAAAGTGATGTGGGCCTTTTTGAATATTATTAGTGAAAGTCGTGATGTGGCAAAATGTAAACTGTGCAAAAAAGATAGCCTAAGTCTCGTACGACTTCTAACCACGATAAACATCTGAAACTTCACCATCAAAATGAATTTTTCCAGAGGGAATTAAGCAAATCAACAGTTGGGGAAGAATATAGGCCTAGGCCAAGATGAAAGTGTAGACGATCCCATGGATGTTACAAATCCAAATCTAAACTTAAATGAGTTTAGCCCACTCTCTATTAACATAAGACACTAATATGGATACAAAAATGTGTATGTATAAAGAAAGATATTCTGCTTATTTATCGTTGACAATAAATATGTTCATATTAAAATTAATGTTTTATTTGATTCCAGCTGTTATTTTGATAGGTATCGGAAGTATCGGTATCGATAGATATTGAGAGTACTTTGGTGGTATCGGTATCGACAATTTTTTGTATCGGCCCATCTATAGAAATAAAAAAAACTTCTTTAATATTCAAACAACATATAAGTATTCCCTATCTCTCAACTCTGTACTATAAAGTTTCGTGACAGCTGGCTGTTTATGTCGTTTCCTAACCTCAAATTCACTTCAAACACCTGATCACTGCAGTGACATCATAAACATGTCAACAAAACAAAACAGTGGATACCGTACCTAATATTTCTCTCATCAGCAACTCGCGAGAAAATGAATCATCACGCCACTTCGCTCTCCGCTGATTCAAACAAGTCCATGGCTGTTTTCGGGAATGGAAGCTTGGCTGGTGTGTGACGTTAGTGGAGATTAAATGTGGAAAGGTTTGATCATTACAGTACGTCTAATTTCCAACCCTTGACTTTCCTAGTTATGTAATAAAGTTTATTTTTTGATTTAAGCTAAAAATATTTTTGAAATTAAAAACTAAAAAACATACTTCTAAAATTTGTCCCACTTAAAAATCTGCTGCCCTGGGCTGCAGCCCCTACAGCCCCCCCCCCCCCCCCACCCATAAATCCGCGACTGGAACTACCTAGAAAAACATGGGTTGTTTACATTTAATTTGATGCCATAGACTGGACAAAACAGTTAGTTTAACGGCCAGATCAAAATTACTGTACCCTATGAGTAAAATTTATACACTACGTCCATGATTCGGGTTCCGGTCCACTGCTTGTTGTGGTCAGCCAACACTTGTCGACGCTGCATTGTATCAAGAACAATACCGGACATTGGACACATACCGCAGTCCACTGTCTGTAAGTAGACCAGCTGTAAGAAAAGTAATGTGATCTACAAATGTTTACCTTACTTTCTGAATCTACACAAAGATTCTTTTAAATGAGACCAAACAAAATGTAGTAATCTTTCACTTTGTAAAAAATTGCTTCAAACTCCGCTGTAGACAATGTGACAACAATAGTAAACATTTTAAGTCTAATGACTTTGAGATATAAGTCTGTATGTCCACACACATATATTAATACCAGCCTAAAACAATAATAATGTTGCTAATCTCCTCAAATAAGTCTAATAATCAAGAAATATAGGTAATTCTTCTGTAAAACCATCTAAATTTGATTGGAGAAAATTCATGTTATAGAGAAATATAGAATAATTACGGCAATGATAGGCTGTTATGAACTCAATTTCCTGAACCCCAATCAGGAAATTATGGCGATACCGCATTAAAAAAAATTATATAGCATTTTTTGTGACAACTCTATTCTTCCAGTACAAACATAAACATCAACTAAACAATTTGATTATTTGCGCAATTTACAAACTTGGGACCATTATATTTCTTTGATACCACTGACACACAAAAGGAGGAATCAAAAAAGAAAGGCAATTCGAGACCATACATAGTTTAGTTTGCCTATAAATTACCAAACAAAAGCGATCAACAAGGCAAAGGACGACAGATTTTAAGTCCCACAACTTCTGAATAGTGAGTCAGATCAACTTGGATATACTTTAGCGATGTGATTGTCCTGGGATCCTATTCTACTGAATCTGACAAAAAGTATATGTGTTATTTCAAGTGTAGACACAGTGGTTAAGAAGAGTGTAGCAATTGGAGGGACCCCTATCGAACCAGGGGAACGAACCCGGTCCCAAATCCTCATTCTAAGTCAGTGTGTATGGATAAATTTTGAGATAGTACTGAATTCTTGATCCACATAAAGAAGATTGTAACAGGTTGGTGAAAGAGCCTACCTAAAATAAGCAGTAGATGGCTCAAATGGTAGTTAACAATATAATGGATGTTCAGGACAGTAAGAGAACGATGGCTTCAGGAGTTACACCCTAGATCAGGCATTTTGCTACTTTTTGCTTACCATAACTATGTGTGTGGGGTGGGAGGAGGTTTATGGGGTTTTATTGCTAAATATTTTCAGTCAACAGGTTTTTTGAAATTACAAATGCAATTTTAATGTTAAAGTTTTCCACGTATAGAACTTTTTTTGTGGCTTTACTAACCTAGTTTTCCTTATAGTTAGTTGAGTTTGATCATCTATTATCCGAATCACACACTTTTTCAACAACCTATTGTTTATCTCCCTAGATAACATTGAATTTATTACCAAACTCATATTATCTAACTGTGTTTATTTACTTAGAGTAAAAAAAATTACATATATATTCCTATCAAGTTCAAAGATTCAAAGACTGTAGAAGCAATTAATTAATATAACAAAAAAAGACCGGATCAAACTTGAGGAACCTATCCTTAATCTTCATGTATCTGTGTATGGATCAGTTTTGAGGTAGTACTAAATCCTTGATCAGTACACCCGGTCAGGATAACTCCTCCATGAGCTAGAAACCAGAAAATTTGATTGTGACAGGATTAGAATCATCCTATAATGTTATCTCCTAGCCAGGGAGACCCAATATACCGTGATTTGGATCTCAAAAAGTTAAGAATAGTATTTTCATTTACCTGTTTCTGCTAGTTAGTTCATATTTAAATTAAAATGCTTAAAATTTCCTTAATTTTTTATAGTGTCAATGAGAGAGGGATGCCACAAATGATCTACAAAATGCCAGGTATGTACATATATTGGCACAACTTTAAACACTTAAAAACCTAAGGCCGAGTACAGTTTGGGGCGTTTTTCGTTGAATCTCACCTCCGAACGCTAGTGTGATTATAGCGGCACTTGTAACGTTTGGCTGACCAACGTGGTGGCGGCATGGTAGCTAAGTTGGCTAAAGTGTTGCGCTGTAGACTGAGTGTAGCAGTGAGGTCTTTCTACATGCGCAGGTTTGAATCTCGTACAAGTGCAATCCATACTAAAGCCAATAATGTGTGGCTTAGCTGGCAAGAGAGGGCCACCTCAAATAAACGGTGTCCGGCTCGGTGGAAGTTCACGCCTTATTGAGTGTAATAGGGATTGCACAACACATCTTTTTCTTCTTTTTACATCTATGTCCGTAAGCAGGATAACTCGAACAAAAGTTATCCGATTTTGATTAAATTTGTTATAAACGTGTAAACCTAGATTTATTTAACGAGTTCGCGAACCAGCATGATCGGACCATGGGAACGGGGGTTTATGGGGTAAAAATGGGTTTTTCCAATTTTTGACCCTAAAAACATAAAACTTTGGAATTTCTTTCCCAACCATTTTGTAGAGCTTAAAAAATAAATAATTTAGTATATTGAAGCATTGTTGTATGCCTAATGCTTATGGAGAAAATTCAAAAAAGTGCAAATTTAAAATTTCTATGTTATTCTTATGGAGAAAATGAAAACTGTTGTAGGTTTACTTGTTTATGGATATACAGTATGTTGATCAAATTTGGTAAATTTTTTAATTTCATCCTATACTATTGACGTTTGGTCAAAAAACACTGTTCGCCTTCCCCGTAGCAGCAAACCTAAGCACTCTTTAAATCTAATGTTATTTAAATTGGGAATAAATATGTCTTATTTATGGAAATATTTTAGTAAATATGTAATCAGGCAAGTTGAAATACGTTTAGTCTGCAGGTTTACTGCGCCGGGGGTATTTCTCTTTATTTTAGTTAAATATGGACTAAAACAGATAAATATAGAAAATTTGGATGAGAGCTTAAAGTGCTAAGTCTTCACTTCAGATAAATCTTTAAAAAGTTGGACACCTGGTTACCTGGCTGAATATAAGACATTTGCAAAGATTTAAACTGATTTGATTACAGTTAGTTGTTTCCATATTTTAAAGGTAAGCCAGCCGATTTCATTCCATAGTTTTTCTGTTTTAATCACAGACTAATTAGAAAAACTCGCTTTTCAGTTCCTCTCTTTTCCGAGGAAGAGCAAGCTACTCCTGGGACTAGCTCCAAGAAAAAGAAGAAGAAAAGATCACGATCAGCCTCCTCGGATCGATCTCTCTCTCCAGTAGCCAGACAGAGAAGGTGGGTTTATTAAATGATGGTTTTATTATGGAATGTCTAGTTCTATACACTGTCAATGATCCATGGTCTTGTTTTTGCAAAGTTCTAAGTATTTATGGCCATGTTTTAGATTGTCTCCGGAGCCATTAGAACTGCCCGACTTGCCAACAGAACAACTCAAAGAAGCCTTAATCTTCGATTGGCTGGCCAGCCAACCCTCAACCAGCCAGCCCTCAACCAGCCAACCCTCAACCAGTCAACCCTCAACCAGCCAACCTTCAACCAGCCAGCCGAGAAGAAGAGCGTACGCATTAATGGGGCAAGTTGCCATTACCAAAGAGTCATTGGAACAATTCATTGCTGAATGCGACGAAGACAACTGGAAATCCCGATCCCAGTGTGGATGTGTCGCGGAGCTCACGCTCACTTGCCCACTGAGAGAATTACTGGACGACGACGAAGCATTCTACGAGGTTCGACGGGTTCTAATCGGAGCATGGATGATCAGGCTCAACAAAGACTTTGGTTGGAACATTCAATCGTTAGATATAACGAAAGACCCAAAGCTGTATAGGTTGGTGGAAATAATGGAGACAGGCCGTTTTGTCCTTGACGTGTGTCGACCTCTGTGCAGGAATTGTGTGGAGTCAACTGCGGAATGTACCTTGGAGGATTTCCCCCAGTACAAGGACATACCGCCAGACGAACTGATAGACATAAGTAGAGGTCTGGTCAACATGAGCAACTTGCTACATTTCTTCTATGTTAATATCCCAAAATCCGCATATACACAAAGCGAGTAGAGTAGGCAGGTAACTTGAAACTTATAACGGAGAAATGTAACCATAGTTAACCTGCCTGTCTACTCACCTTGTGTAAATGTGGATATTACCGGAAAATACACTAATTTGGGTCAAGCTTGGACCTGCACTTGACTCAAAGTTGAATCCGTACCAGTCACTAATCAATCAATCAAAATAACTATTGTTAATACACATTATGTAGGCCTACAGAATAGCGTCAGTAATTTTCATCACTAAAACAACCATATAAAACCTAAGACTACTTTACAGAGGATATTGTTATTAATTATAAATATACATAAATTTTCAAGAAGTTGATATAACACTGACGTAGCTGCCTGGTTTATGTGGTTTTGTAGTTGGACTAAAAACACCCACTATTATATCAGAGGACTGACAGTGGTGATTACAGGCATAGACAAAAAGAATTAAATATAGACTGTCAGCCGTGCTGCGGTTACCATGGTTACCATAAGTTCGGGCGCACACCGCTGTAGTTTACGTAGCGCGTACGCTGTAACTACCGTGGCGATCCCAGCGGTGTGCGCCAGAACCTATGGTAACCGCAGCACAGCTGACGGTCTATATTTAATTCTTTTTGTCTATGTTACAGGTCACTGTTATTGTTTCATCTTGCATCATTTACTAGGCTATAGGCTAATGTTTATATAATTTATCTATATACTCAATAATGGCTTTATCTGTAACCTATGAATATTGTATAATTCATAAGTAATTTTTACAAAACTTGTGCTCTTGAATATTGTTATTATTGTAACAATTTGCCTTGTAGACTAATTGTAAGACCTAAATATTTTGAACATATAGGCTAATATTTGTGTAAGGAATATGTTTTGTACTAGTTTTAGAATGCACATAACATGTTTGAAAAATACTGGTTTTTTTCACAAGCACTCTATTTGCAAAACAATTTCAAACTTATAAAATGTGCTGGAGTTCTATTACTATAAACCTCTTAGACTCCAGAGTCTAAAGCCGGTTTAAGTCTAGAACTTAGCTAAATCCCGAGCTCAGCAACCGGCCCTTAGCTGCTACATAATGCATATTATTTTCTTGTGACCTGATTTTATAGTTACTCATAGTGTTATTTTTCCATTGCTCTCTTTGACTTAATTGAATATGTTTGAAGCAAACCCAAAGGTCAGTGCAATTATTTATCTTGTTAACTTAGCAATAATTAATCGAACCATTTTCTTGGTATTTAAACTGTTATTAATTAACTATTCATTCATAATGATAATAGAATTTCTATATGTAGTGAAGATTTATATTTATACAATAGTGCACTTTAATGTACTCTCAGTACCTTATATACAAAGCAATTGATAGTCAAAGTATTGATAGTTGAAGCTTATATACAGTGGACTCTCGCTCATCCAGATCGGCCTTGGACTCCCGATAGTCCAGATCGGCAATTGTGATTTTTTTTGCGGCACATTACAGTAGAAGTCCGATTATCCGAGCTAAACAGGACCAAGACTACCTCGGATAATCAAAAACTCAGATAACATGGCGGTAAAAATTATTACCAGTGGAACTGCATTTGCATGGCTATCAATACTGTGGACCTGGAACAAAATTTTTTTTAAACAGCTATATATAGTAGGCCTACTGTATTTGCTTGAATCTCAATAGTCCGGATTTTTTGTAATCCGGACCAGACGTTCGCCACATTAGTCCGGATGAGCGAGAGTCTACTATATTAGTGACAATTCGTTTTTTAAAGTTGATGTATTATTTCAGTTATTTGTTAGTATAGTTAAATAAGGAATATATTTTACTTAAAATTAGGTCATGACCACTATTGACAGTGTTCAAAGATATTAGGCTATTTCACTTGCCAAACATGTGCTGAAAAGAGGTTGTAACCCCATTTTATCGTTATTTCAATTACTCTCTAAGATGTAATAGGATATTTGATGCAAAAGTCAGTGCAATTTGTCTGGTTGACTTAGAAAGTATTCAAACAAATTCTCTGTTCTTAACATGTTACTGATCATCGTTTATCACGTTGAGTATTCAGACTACATAAGGGGATCTAACTGCGGCTTTATTATTTTTTTATTAGGATGTGTATTTTGCAGTTACACACATCCTCGGTCCTTGAGGGTAGTGTGGGACATCGACTATTCATTCATTCCATCACTAGTTCCTAGTTTAATTAAGTTAAACATTAGTTATTTAAATTTAAAAACAGTCAAAAAGAAAATATTCAAATGAAATTTGGAGCCTCAAAGAACTGTTTATTATATTCTAAATTATATATATATAAAGTATCAAAACTAAAGGACTGATTAGATGTATTGGAACACCCTATTGCAAGCAGCCGTTGCTCTTTATTTAACAAAGTAATACCAAGACCAACTAACTCACTGTAATTTTGAGACTAAATATAGGTTTTGACACAAATGAGTTGCAGATGCAACATAGAAACTTTGAGCTTTAAATGTAATCGTATGTACAAGAAAAATGTGCCTTTTAATCAAAATAAGTGTTTGAGATATGATTAATACTTTTTATCTTGATTAAGGCTAGATTATGACATTGAGGATGAGTTTAGAGGACATTTTCCTCCAAGTTTGGCTGTTGGCCAGAGAAATTATTTAACTTTTTTTTATTATCATAGGACCGCTAGTTTTAGCATTTATTTGTTATTTAGTTCTTAAAACAGAACTATACTTACTGTTGTACAATTTTTTATTTTTATGTTGTTAGCTATTTTCATTTTTTATCTTTTTTGCATTTACATATTTTATATTGTTGAATATATTTTACCTGTGCTCGTACTAGTTACATTTTAGGAATCCATGGTGACTTAGCCGTTGTGGTAGGCCTATTGTAACAATTATTTGCTTTGTTAATGTTACACCTACCACTAAATGTTTGTAATAATTAGGGTTTAAGCTGTAGTTGATTTTTCATATGTTTAATAAAAGAAATTTAACAATCTTTTTGAAATTTGGAACAAAGGAAAGCTAAAATGTAGTAGAAAATTTTATAAATTTATAACTAAGTAATACTATTTATACTACAGTACAGTATATTGTTCTTAAAGCCGTCTAGATATTTGTATATTTGGATTTACTTAAAAGAAATTTACCTATCCAAATTTTAATTGTCTGGGTAGACGAGTGGTAATAGCGCTCCTGCTCGGCTTAAAATCTTAAGGTCACTGGTTCGAATCCATGCGAGATCGTTTCCAGACCGAGATGCTATTTGTCATCGGGCTATGAATTAATGAAGAGGTTGGCGTTAGATAGTGGCAAGACCAGGGTTTGGATCGTTCCCTTTCAAAACGTAAAAATGCCACTTGCGTAGAAACACACAAATAAATGGGCAAATATTCAGCTAAATTTCAGCAAAATTAATTACCATACTAGGAAGAGTTTTATACTAGCTTAAACTCTAGTTAGATATTTCAGAATAAAGTATAATTTTGTTGTGATCATATAAGAATTTTGGTTTTAGGAATCAGAAAATGTGATGTTCAGCAAACTCATGAAATTTGCAACTAGAAAACAATATTTTTTTACTAAGTTAAAAGATTCTACTTTATAGTTACAATATAATTATTTTAAGGTTGAATGTACTTAGGAATCTGTAATTGCTAGAGAGTCATCACATTCAAGTTGTATTTGGCACATTAGCTAAGTTGGCACAATTGATTTTGAATTTTAAGATTAAAGAAGACAGTTGTTTTTTTTTTCAATTTTTCTCAGCAATTAAAACATTTTTTACAAATGGTTTATGAATTATTGTCCCATTACAGTAAGCCTATGCATTGCATTACTTTGGTTAAGATTGTAAAATAAGTAATACTATTTATACTACAGTATATTGTTCTTAAAGCTGTGTAGATATTTGTATATTTTGATTTACTACTACCGAGTTAGTGAATTAACTAAATAGGGAACAAGGTTTTAAGAATTGGTGCTGGGATAGCAGGTTTACCTGAATAGGAAAGAGTCCATCCTGGCATTAAAAACATAAAAACTGTACCTTAAAATAAGAGCATTTTATTGTTACTGACAACATTTTAACCAATAAGGTTTGAGCTTCCTTACAAATAATTATGAAGTTATGAATTAACAAGTTTATTGCCTGATTGTCTAGTTTTCTTTGTAACTCAAATATCTCTCAAAAATGCTGCCAGTGACTGTAAAATATTAAATAACTTCTTGATCAGCATTGTACGTGTTATTAAATTTACGGAAAGTAAATAAAAGAAACATCTTATAACACTTAAAACATATATTTACGCTTATACTGTTACTCACAAGACGGTAAATATACAAAACAGATGGTAAGTGGTGATCGATTTCGATTGGACACTCCAATCATCATCAGACCCAATAGGCGAATATACATATACATAAATATACATTCGCCTATTGGGTCTGATGATGATTGGAGTGTCCAATCGAAATCGATCACCACTTACCATCTGTTTTGTATATTTACCGTCTTGTGAGTAACAGTATAAGCGTAAATATATGTTTTAAGTGTTATAAGACGTTTCTTTTATTTACTTTCTGTAAAATATTGTGATTATTGTGTATAGTACAATGAGCTTTGTTTTTGTGCCAGGATAGAGTCTCTCTTCCTTTCAGGAAAGCCAACAGTCCTTGAAGTATATGAGTTAATTAATCCAAGAGCGAGAAATAAATCAGCATTACTCACAAGAATTATACACGACCAACTAAAAAATTTACATTTCATGGGAAGAAACGTTTAAAAGTAAATAAAAACAATGTATCAGTAGGCCTACTATAATTTTTGCTGTTTTATCAGTTACAGTTTTTCATCAAAAGATCAAAACTTCTATTACAAAATTTGTATTTGCCAATTGGATTGATAGTGTTAACTTGTTTGCTCTCAGAATGTTAAAATTACCAATTGGAATGAGAGTGTTAACTTGTTGGCTCTCAGGATGTTAAAATTGCCAATTGGATTGAGAGTGTTAACTTGTTGGCTCTCAGAATGTTAAAATTGCCAATTGGATTGAGAGTGTTAACTTGTTGGCTCTCAGAATGTTAAAATTACCAATTGGAATGAGAGTGTTAACTTGTTGGCTCTCAGGATGTTAAAATTGCCAATTGGATTGAGAGTGTTAACTTGTTGGCTCTCAGGATGTTAAAATTGCCAATTGGATTGAGAGTGTTAACTTGTTGGCTCTCAGAATGTTAAAATTGCCAATTGGATTGAGAGTGTTAACTTGTTTGCTCTCAGAATGTTAATATTCTTTCCTTACAGCACCACCAGTCAGCCTTCTTTCACACTAACGCCGATCCTGTCCCAGCCCGCATCTGACGAGACTGTTTTGATTGTTGAATCTTATGGGAGCTTTTACACCAGTGAGTTTTTGCCTGGACAAACTTAAACCTCTTCAGGGTGCAAAAAATGTCCAGACAGAAAAAATGGTTTACTTGTGAAATGTACCACAAAATTTTGTGTTTATGATAGGAAATTTCCTAACAATTTATAACAAGGCAAAAGTAAAAATTATAGCCCGTTAATTATCTGTACATTTGTATACATTACTTAAACTCCTTTATTGAAAAGAGAAAATGCTAGGTACAATATCTATACCTAAAACTAACTGAACAATGTAGTAAAAATATAAATAATCTCAACAGATAAATTCTACATTCATAAATACAGCCCTACCACTAATTTTAGTTGTTATTGTATCACTAATTATGTACTATAAAATGACTTATTTGACAAGTCTTCAAAAACAAAGACAAAAAACTTCACACTACAGCACTAACTATATGGTACGTTTAAATTACAAGGAGTTACTGTCTCGTTTGGTCGATGATCAGTTCACAAATAAATTAATGTTTGCTTATTAACACTTCCAGTGTTATCGTAGAAACACTAGGAATGATTGACTTATTCGATGGTTACTTCCAGAAAGCATTGACTCGTTCATCTTTGGATGCTTAAGACTCAAGAGGCCTAGTTGACGTTACATCGACACACACAGCACGATGGAAAGAGGAACCAGTCCATGAAAATGCCTTTACAATCATTGTCTGGGTCGTAAGCCAGCAGACGATGCCACTTGTACTTCTGTTCACACCCGCAATCGTTGGAACACCGGTTTGTTACAGTTTTCCTGCAAAAGACACACATATGAATGTTTTCCCTTTATTTACTGTATGATAAACGTTATGTTTAGATTTTTCAGGTTAGAATTTGGGTTGAATATGTATTTTATATTGTAAAAGTTTTATTTTAAACAGTTACTGCGGACTGGGTTACATGTGAACTAACTGGTTAGGATATAAAAACTGTCTACTTCTGTAAACGAATCTTAAGTTTTTATTATTTTAAAACTAATATATCACAGGACATATAAAATGACATTTTTTTAGTAGACGTCGACAGGATCTTAAACCCTGACCAAAGCTGAGACCTATTGGCTTAGTCTCTCCACTGTCAGACACCAATCTGCCATAAGAAGCCCTACTTACCTACCACCTGTAAGTTCACGCGGTCTTTGGTGTTACCCCAAAGATGACTATGCTATTGTATTTAGAGTCTTCTGACCCACTGACATGGAATATATACCAGTTATAAAACAAAAAGGTTTACTTAATTGATTAAAATACCAATATTCCTAAATGTGCCACCACAAAACAACTTACCGTATCGAGATGGTCTCTTTTTAAATAGCTATGTTTATTACAAGCGTATCGTTTTGGTTTTTCTAACCCAGATGCCATTTTTGTAATTGGACTATCAATTATTAGTGATGCTGTCTAATGAAAAGTTTGATACGGTTTTCACAAGACCAGGGATTGGACGGGTCCCTTATAAAAAACATAAAACCACACCAAGGGTGTAACTATTGACAAAATAAAATTAAATACTTAATGTATTTAAACATTTTTGCTCAACAAGAATCCAAAATAGTTGATTTTTTAAGATTTTAGATTTATATTGTAAAACTCGATATGAGTTTTATGGAGTTCCTTAAAAACTATCTGTTGGTATACAACTTACGAGCATACTTCCTGGTGGATAGCTTGCTCAAAGTGCTGCGTGTTTACAATGGCTCGTATCTTGCCTGCACTGTTGGCTGCCCAGTATGGAGTGACGATCTCCACCTTAGACTCACAAGCATCCATTCTAAAACATAAAACTACAATATTAAAAAAATTGCTAATTCAGTCCAAAGAAAGTCTGCAGCTTTAGATGGTTTTGAAACTGGACCCAGCTGACCTCTTTGCTATTGTGGTTAATAAATAAATCCCTTACTGAAGAAACTGCTGAGCTTAGTCAATGGGCGCTCAGAGGTAGTACCTTTAACAGTTTTATGATAAATTCTTACACTATGATTACTTGCAACAACTTTGGCAATTTATAAAAAAAGTTTGTCGCAACAACACTATGATGTCTTCAATGAAGTGATGTTTTAAATTCATGTTTCAAAATACCTACTATCCAAGATTGCTGATTTTAAATATTCAAATTGGGATTGAGAAGAGACCGTGTTGAGGGGAAATATCTTTTTCGATAAGCTCTTCAATTACAGATTGAGATTTCATAAAGTCAAATTGTTAACTCTGGATTGCCAAATAATAAATATCTTAACTAAATGAGACATCATTACATATTTGTTTAAAAAGGTTGTATTGGGTGAAAACAAGAATTCAACAGTACCCTAAACAAAATACACCTACCTTCCAGAGTCGGAAGACTGGTTGTTCCTGAAAGACTGTCTAGTTTGCCTTAGTTTTCCAAAGTAGGATTCAGATCCCTCCGACTCTTTCACAGGGTCTGGGACTGCCGAAGAATTGCTCGGTTTTGGCTTCTCTTTACTCTTTGCAGCTCTTGTTTTTCTCGATCTCCTTTGGTTCTCGAATACTTCCCTGGCTGGTGGACCATACTCCGTAGTCATTTGAAACTCCCCGTACATTCTTTTCATTAGTGCTTTATTCTCATCTATGAATAATTCAATTCTATCTCTGTAAAACAAAAAGTCTTAGTTAATATTTACTAAAAGGCTAGTTTGAAACAGAAATAATTTCATGAGAGCTCATTTAAATATTTTTTACTTAACTTATCAATTGCTCAGTCTAAAATATATTTAAAATATGTCATTCTATTCATAACACTATTTGACTACATCTAAGTGTCAGGTTATAAGATCAGAAATAATTAATTTTCTCATTGGGTTTCTCTCTTATTCAGTTTAACAAAAGTTAACATCAATCTGTTTCATGAGGTAGGCAGCCTCTTAACAGTGTTCAAATGGTCATCAGACCTGTATATGGAAGGTATAAGCAAGAGCTGGAGAGCTGGTACATTACAAGAATTAACTGTACTGATACATATTATTGGCAAAACTGGTACACAGAGCACAACAAGATTCAAGGTCTTTATTTGTCATTAAGTAATACAAGTACTGCAATAGACATCAACAAAGCTTTTTTTATATTACATACAGTTAATTTCCTGTTAGAGTAGCCTAACAGCAAAAATGCACCAAGTAAGTAGCAATCACTCTTTAAAAATATAACTGTTAACATAACTAACTCTAAAATAAATTAATTAACAATTTACATGTCAATGATCAAAAATAAAATCTGTAAATATAATAACAATAAAATCTAAATATGATAACAATTAAATATTTAAATATAATAATATTAACATTGATGTTCTAAAAACATAGGGAACTAATATCACAGGCCAGATAATCGTCTATGGAATAAAAAACATTTTCCTTA